GGGTCTCTCTGTGTCATCCAGGCTGGAGTGCAGTGGTGCAATCATGGCTCACTGTAGCCTCGAGCTCTCAGACTCAAGTGATCCTCCCACCTTAGCCTCCCAAGTAGCTGAAACTACAGAGGTGTGCCACCACATCCTGCTAATTTTTAAAAACAAATTTTTTGTAGAGACAAGGGTCTCACTATGTTTCCTAGGCTGGTCATGAAGTCTTGGGCTGAAGAGATCCTCCTGCCTCAGCCTCCCAAAGTGTCAGGATTATAGATGTAAGCTACTGTGCCCAGCTGGTTTTCACCTTTAGATATTATTTCTTTGGGCTTGAAACTTTTTATAAAATAGACCTCTCTCTATAAGAGGTAAATCTATGTCTCACTTAGCAGATGGTTAAACTCCAGGTCAGCTACTGAGGAGGAAATAGAAGAAGCAATGTCCCTAAAACATTCATCCCATAAATATCTAATGAGCATCTACTATGTGTTAGGCACAGGGGCACAGGCATGAACAAGACCCAATCACTGCCCTCAAGGCTTTTAATCTAATGAAGGACCAAGGCTAGGAAACAGATGATTACAAGTCCCATGTGACATATGCTAATCCAGGAAGGAATTATGGGAGGACAGAGGAGGGACACTGAACCAAGAGTCAGAGAATGGGCAAAGACTTCCTAAAGGAAGTGACATCAGCCAGAAACTTAAAGGATGAGGAGGAGTTAGGACCACAGCAGAGGTGGGACCATTCCAAGTAGAAAAAACAGAACAGCACGGAAAAAAAGTCCAGGGATGAAGAAGCATGGTGTGTGGGACTTGAGTGCACCTCGAAACAAGTGTGGGGCATAGTTAGGACCACTTTTTTTTTTTTTTTTTTTTTGAGACAGAGTCTCACTCTGTCACAGGCTAGAGTGCAGTGGCATGACCTTGGCTCACTGCAACCTCTGCCTCTCAGGTTCAAGAGATTCTCCCGCCTCCTAAGTAGCTGGGATTATAGGCATCCGCTACTATGCCTGGCTAATTTTTGTATTTAGGAGAGATGAGATTTCACTGTGTTGGCCAGACTGGTCTCGAACTCCTGACCTCAAGGGATCCACCCACCTCAGCCTCCCAAAGTGCTGGGACTACAGGCGTGAGCTACTGTGCCCAGCCCAGGACCACTTTTTTTAAGTCCCAAATTTAGCCAAAAATTTTCACTTGACAACTACTTACTGAGCTCCTCCATATGTAAAGACCCCTTGCTGTTGCATGCTGTGTGTGTAAGAACATCGGCACAATGGCTGGGCGCAGTGGCTCACGCCTGTAATCCCAGCACTTTGGGAAGCCAAGGTGGGAGGATAACTTGAGCCCAGGAGTTTAAGACCAGCCTGGACAACTTGGTGAAAGCCCATCTCTACTAAAAATATAAAAATTAGCTAGGCATAGTGGCACATGCCTGTAGTCCCAGCTACTTGGGAGGTAGAGGTGGGAGAATCACCTGAGTTTGGGAAGTTGAGGCTGTAGTGAGGTGAGATCATGCCACTGCACTCCATCCCTTGGTGAAGGGAGTGGGAACAAAAAAAGGAAAAGAAAAAAGAAAGAAAGAGCACCTGCACATCGTAACACTGTGAGCCATATGAGGCCCAAATCTTCCCTGATCTTGCCATACCTGGACACACCCTCTTAAGACTAGTTATTCCAGGCTAGCGCCCTTCCTGGACAGCAGGACTGGTTTGAATCTTGGTTGTCATGCGTCCTAACTACGGGCATGCTTTGGATTCCAGCAGCCCCATGAGAAAGCCTCAGCCTTAGGCAGGGCTTGTACTAAACCTGCAGCCACCGGATGTAGTGGGTCAGAGGTGAGGCGACGTAGCAGGGTGGTGCTGCACCCATTCTGGGTTTGAGAGGCCTGGAGATGTCGTCTCACTCCCATCAGAAACTTGAGTGTAGGGAAAGAGGTGGGAAATATGATGTTTTTTAGTTGAGGACTGGACACCAAAATTCTGACCACAGCTGAGGAGATAATTTAACTTAATCTATGTAAATCTTTGGGGCACAGATTGTGCAGGACAGAAGATTGGGGTGGTGTGGCTAGAAATCCACTCTCAACATAATGTCCACATGGTGGCATGACATCGAGGTATAACACCCCAAGCCAGAATTGACGCCTACCCCTGTCCCCACTTGGGGACCTTGAGTGACCAAATACAAAACACCAACCTCACCACCATCTTTACAAGTTGTTAGAAGTAAAATTCATCAGAATGGAAACTCCCCATCCCAAAGAGACACTGCTTCCAAGAAGCCTTTCAGCTGACCATTCAGCCCTTGACCTGCTTGTGACCGGAGCAAGACCTATTCCTTTCCCAGCTTTTGGGAAAGACTCAGTCACTTTGGCCCGCCCTGCCTAGCCCAGGTTGCTGACCTCATGGGTGAGGGTGGAGACCTAGCTGGAGAGGGACCTTTCACCTATTTCCCTGTTGCACTCATAGGTCCTTACAGGATGCAGGAAGGCACCTGTGCGCGGCAGTCAGACCGTCACATGAAGACTCCTTTTGAGCCTTGGGGAACCTGGACTGGGCTCTACCATCCTAAGGGGGTTTACAGTTCTGTTCAGTGGTGGGGGTGCCTGGCACTCCTCCTCAGGGAGCATTGGACCGCCCAGCAGCAGGTCGTGATGTGGCCACCCTCACCAAGAGGGAGTGGCTGCCACTGTCAGTTCTGGGAACATCCCTTTTGGAGGCCCCTCCACTCGGAGAACAATCTACGAGACCCCAAAGGTACCCACAGACTCTCCAGCTAGGACCTGAGTGTGGCTTCTGAGATGACGCAGAGACTGTCCCTGGCTATGGGACGAGGCATAATTGGTGGCCCCAAATCACAATCCCTGGCAATGGAGCCCTCCCGCCCCCGCTTCTGCCCCTGCAGATTCTGGTTACCGTGTCCACCCAGCCTCTCCCTGCCTCAATATCTCAGTTGCAGGGTAAAGGTGAGGACAGACCCCTCCCGTTATGGGTGACCCAGGACGGTCTCCGGCTGAGTCAGCCCTGCCACCGGGAGAGCACTGCTCCAGCCAGTGGTGGGACTGGCCGGCTCACTTCCTCCCGACCTGGGAGGTCCCGCTACTCTGGAGGCTGCCCTGAACTGCTCCTCGACCCCTGCAGGTCAGGGCGCCTGCTGAGATCTCCCCCTTTTCCTGGGACAAACAGTGTTATCGCGGCATTGCATTACTTCCCTGGCTCGTACTTTGCTAGTAAAGCAATTACTTACTGCTAAAAGGAAGGACTCTTCCCCAGGAGGGCCCCCTTCCACTCTCAAGAGGCAGGAGGCAAGGGTATATACACACACAGAAAGCGGAATGAGAGGCAGTAGGAGAAACAGTTAAAAGCACAGATTCTAGCATCCTAACTTGGACTTGTCCCAATTCTGCTGTTTTTGGGGGCTCTGTTGTTCTAGGTGAGTTCTTTTCCACAAAGGCCAGTTTCCTCATTTGTAAAATGGCCAATAATTATGATGGCACTTTTTTAAAGGATTACTATGAAAATTAAATGAGATAAAACATGGAATGTTCTTAAGTGGTGCCTGGCACAGGATAGGAGCTCAGTGCATGGCTTTAAAATGTGCCTTTCAGGACAACACTTAATCCCGACGGGTGGGAATTTCACACAAAGTAGAAAGTGTGTTTGGGCAGGCAGGTTTTGTATTGCTGCCCACGCTGTACTGAATAGACTAGACTGTGCTTCCTGCCCCCATTTCTGTTTCTCTTCTGGATAAAACAGTCTTAATTAGAGACAAGCTGGGAACTAGGATGCAAATAGCATTTCCTAAAACTCCTAAATGTGCCTCAATCAATCCCTGTCTGTCCACACACAGGAGGCTGCATCTTGGTCCCCTGGAGCCACAGGCCAGGAGCCAACCTGGTGTCTCTTTGTTCCCTTTACATAATAAAAATCAAAGTCTATTGATCTTTTCTAATCATAGACTATAGATTCTTTCCTTCCTCTTTGTCCTTGTTGCCCTTGCCCGAACTAGAGTCAAATTCTGGAGGCACCGAAAATCTCCGTGGAGGCAGAAAAGATGAATAAGAGCTTCACAGACAAAGAAAGGGTCATTTCAAGTTTTGAGAACAGTACATGCAAGGCTCAGAGACTTCCCATGACACGGTACTCCATGGAACAAAATGTGGCTCTGTATATAGGAATGGAGGCCCAAGCAGAACCACATGGCATGATAGCTGGGCACACAAACACACGGCTACACTGCCTGGCTTTGAATTCCAGCTCCATCATTAATTAGCAAGTTACTTAATTTCCGTGTGTCTCATTCCTCATCTGTAAAATAGGATCATAATAGTGCCTCTAAGGATTTTTGGGAGGATTCAATGCACTGATAGATGGAGAGAACTTAGTATAGTGCTGGGGCATAGTAAGTACCCCATAGATATTACTGTTCCCAATTTCTATGTAAGTGCTGGAGCAGCCCACCCTTCACCTTTCAACTTCAAGTCCACCCTGAACAGGAAGCAGCCTTTAATTAATCTGAAATGGCTGTCAAACATCACCCCAATGTACTCACCCACTCTCATTTGTCAGTATCAATGTTTTGTTTGGCTTTGTGTTTTGTGTGTGTGTGTCTCACTCCTGTCACCCAGGCTGGAGGACAGTGGCACAATCATGGCTCACTGCAGCCTGGACTTCCCAGGCTCAGGTGATTCTCCCACCTCAGCCTTTCAGCCTCCTGAGTAGCTAGGACTACAGGTGCGCACCACCATGCCTGGCTAATTTTTTTTTTTTTTGTAGAGACGGGGTTTTGCCTTTGCCATGTTGCCCAGGCTGGTCTCAAAGTCCTAGGCTCAAGCAATGTGCCCGCCTCGGCCTCCCAAAGTGCTGGAATTACAGGCGTAGAATAAATGTTTTAACAAACTTACTCTCCAGCTCTGGGTTGGGGATTGGTCACATCAACAGAGAAGGAAGCTTACTGCAGAAATTAGGGAGTTGTCTTGTGACACAATGACTCAGTTAAGCATTCAACATTCACTCAGCAAATATTTACTTATTTATTTATTTTTTTAAACCAGAACATTTATCGCATGACTAATCATTGAAATTCTTAAGATAAACTGGATGCCGCAACAGCTGCCCTCTTGGGTTGAGTTGTTCCTTCACGGCATCTGTGCCTGAATCTGCAATATACAATTTTTAGGTGTCTCATTCACCCAGACCCAGAGGTATTTCATCTTCTCTCCTTGGCACTCCAGTTATACTTCCTCTTGCATTTGGCAGGGTAGCCACATTTGCCACAGTCATCTTCTGAAGGTGGCAGGCCTTAGAGCCACAGCGGTGGCACAACAGGGGTGTCTTATTGTGATGCTTTCCAAACAGTAACGTTCCCTTCATCATCTCACTTCTGCAGCTGAGACCAAAGAGACTGGAATAGAAGGCACTTCCATTATATCTGGTCAGAAATATTTACTGAACACTTACTATGTGTCAGACACCATGTTCCTCATGGCTTCCCCTAAGGCTCCAAGTAGAATTAGGCATGAAGATGATTGACTAAAAGGTCTCTGAAAAGCTAACCTTTGTTTCTAACATCGCTCCTTCTGGCCACTTGCAAGATTTTGCACTGATTACTCATCTTCAAACCCCTTGTATTAGTCTGTTCTCATGCCGCTATAAAGAACTGCCGGAGACTGGGTAATTTATAAATGAAGGAGGTTTAACTGGCTCACAGTTCCTCATGGCTGGAGAGGCCTCAGGAAACTTACAATCATGGTGGAAAGGGAAGCAAACACATCCTTCTTCACATGGTGGCAGCAAGAAGTAGTGCAGGGCAAAGGGTCCAAGAAGCCCCTAACAAAACCATCAGATCTCATGAGAACTCACTATCTAGAGAATAGCAGCATGGGAGTAACCGCCCCATGCTTCAATTACCTCCCACCAGGTGCCTCCTAAGACACATGGGAATTATGGGAAGTACAATTCAAGATGACATTTGGGTGGGGATACAGCCACACCATATAATCCCTCTTAAAAATAATGCATTCTATCTAGGCTGCTGTAGCAGTTCACACCTGTAATCCCAGTGCTTTGAGAGGCTGAGATGTGAGGAACACTTGAGGCTAGGAGTTTGAGACCAGCCTGGGCAACCAAGTGAGACCCTATCTCTATAAACAAACAAAACAATTAATTAGCTGGGCACAGTGGTGTGTACCTGTAGTTCCAGCTACTTGGGGTGGGGCAAGGTACTGACTCCGGAGGATCACTTGAGCCCAGGAGGTTGAGACTGCAGCAAGCTATGATTGTACCACTGTACTCCAACCTGGGCAACAGAGAGAGACCTTGTCTCTAAAACTAAATACATGCATACATACATAACATACATACATACAGCTGGGTGCAGTGACTCACACCTGTAACCCCAGCACTTTGGGAGGTCAAGGCAGGAGGATTACTTGAGCTCAGAAGTTCAAGACCAGACTGGACAACATTGAGACCCCATCTCCATAAATAAAAAATTTTAAAAATAGGTCAAGGTTCTAATTTAACCAAAGAGGTCATACATCAATTATCTAACAGAATAGGAATTCCATTATCTGATTAACTCATCTTCTGTCTACAGCCATACCACCCTGAACTCCTGATCTTGTCTGATTAACTCATCTTCCAGAGCACATGGATCTGTAAGGGGCTCCAGTGGGGCTGAGACAGAATCTCGCTCATCATCCAGGCTGGAGTGCAGTGGTGTGAGCTTGGCTCAGTATAGCTTCTGCCTCCTAGGTTCAAGCGATTCTCCTGCCTTAGCCTCCCGAGTAGCTGGGATTACAAGTGCCTGTGACCACGCCTGGCTATAATTGGGTGAAGGATTTGAATAGACATTTCTCCAAAGGAAGCTTACAAATAGCCAATATGCAGATAAAAAGATGTTCACCATCATTAGTCATTAGGGAAATACAAATAGAATCCACAGTGAGATACTACTTAACAACCAGAAGGTTGGCTAAAATAAAAAAAAAAGTAAAGACAAAAACAAGTGTTGATAGGATGTGGGGAAACTGGAAACTTCATATATTGCTGGTAGAATTATAGAATGATGCAGCCACTTTGGAAAATAGTTTGGCAATTCCTCAAAATACTAAACATAGAGATACCATATAACCCAGCAATTCTACTCCTAGTTGTAAACCCAAGAGAATTGAAAACATATATCTATACAAAACTTCTATACAAATATTCCTATCAGACTTATTCATAATAGCTAGGGTGGAAACTACCCACATGTCCATCAATTGATGAATGAGTAAACAAAATGTGGTATATCTATACAACAGAATATTACTTGGACATGAATGAAATTCTGATACAAGCTACAACATGCATGAAATGAGAACACTGTGCAAGTTGGAAGAAAGGGAGGCAGGAAAATAGCAGAGTAAGCTGGGGGCGAAGGGGACCCATGGATGCAGGCTAGCTTAAGCAGTAGCAAAAGCAAAACATGCAAAATAGCAGAAATAGAACATACGAAATAAGGGAGTAAGCAGAGAGTTGAAACATGCAAGATAAGAAAAGTGAGAAAGACTCGCAGTAGCAATTTGGTCACAAAAAATAAAAATAAAGATGAGCAATTTGGTCAGAAGAGATAAAGTAAGATTGAGCAAGTGGAAAAAAGCATATAAAAGGCCATGAAATGTAACAAAGTGGGGCTGATACCACTTGCGGTTCAGCCCGCCCTCCCCTCTCCAGGAGTGTTACCATGCAAACTTTTGCTGCTTTGCTATGCTATCTGTGTGTGTCACGTCCAGTTCTTTGTTTGGGACACCAAGAGCCTGCAACCGCACAGTACCATCCATTAACAAAACCAGACACAAAAGGTTATATATTACTCATTTACATGAAATGTCCAGAATAGTATTCCTTTATATGCAATCTAAAAATAGGCCAGTTGAATGGCTCATGCCTGTAATCCCATCACTTTGAGAGGCCAAGGCAGGAGGACCACTTGAGCTCAGGGGTTTGAGACCAGCCTGGACAACATAACAAGATCCAGTCTCCACAAAAATAAAAAATAAAAAAATGAGCTGGGTGTGGGGTGGTGCATGCTTGTAGTCCCAACTACTTAGAGGCTGAGGTGGGAGGATCCCTTAAGCTGTGGAGTTCAAGTTTGCAGTGAGCTATGATGGCGCCACTGCACTCCAGCCTAGGTGACAGGGCAAGACCTCATCTCAAAAAAGAGTTGTTGGGGCCGGGTGCGGTGGCTCATGCCTGTAATCCCAGCACACAGGGAGGCCGAGGCAGGAGGATCACCTGAGATCGGGAGTTTGAGACCAGCCTGACCAACATGGAGAAACCCTATCTCTAAAAAAAAAAAAAAAAAAAATTAAATTAAAAAAAATATATATAAAGAGTTGTTGATGTGTCTTACTGAGGAAAAGAGTAAAAATTAAATAAATAAATAAATAAATAAAGAGTTGTTGGTGTGAGAAGAGTAGAAATTTGTGCCTTCGGGGAACCCAGGAGTGTTAGCTGTACCCCAAATTACCCCCTGGGTAATACTGCTGAGGGCGCTGCTCTTCTCAAAGCCTTGTTTCTTCTAGTCCCTTGCACCTCTGCTCCCAGCTCATCCTGGTCTGCTCTCAGATATCTTCCACTCCTAGAAGTCCAGAGGACACCCACTCTTACCACTCTTGTGGTAGCTAGTGTCCTAAAGCACTATCCACGTGCCTTGTTCCCATCCGTTCCCCATAATCCAATACAGCCTTCTGGTATCCTAAAAAGAGTTAGTCTGACATATCCCCAGCAAATGTGTAGATGGTGTCAACTCATGTCGGAATTCCTTCCCTTCCCTATTTTACAAACCACTACGCTCCATCTGTATTTGTTTCCTAGGGCTGTGGTAATAAAGTATCACAAACTAGGTGATTCAAAACAGTATAAATTTATTCTCTCACAGTTCTGGAGGCTAGAAGTCTGAAATCAGGGCATTGGAGGGCAACACTGCCAACTAGGGGAAGATCCTTCCTTGTTTTTTTCCAGCTTCTGGCAGCCCCACACATTCCTTGGTTCACGGCACCCTAACTAATCTCTCTGCCTCTGGCATCACATGGCCATCTGCCCTCTGTCTAGCTGTGTCCAAATTTTCCTCTTCTTATAAGGACACCAGTCACATTGGATTAGGGCCCACCTTAATCCAGTGCCCCTCATTCCATCTCCTCATTTGCAAATAAAGAGAATACTATTTGGATTGTGTGTGCATGGAACATAGGAAAATGGCCGCTGTCAAACAGTGTTCCTAGGAAGGCTATTTCACAGTATGGAACAAGAGCCTAAACAGGTGTGGGGGCTGCGTGCAGTGGCTCATGCTTGTAATCTCAGCACTTTGGGAGGCTGAGGCAAGAAGATGGCTTGAGCCCAGGAGTTCAAGACCAGTCTGGGCAACAGGGTGAGCCCCCGTCTCTACAAAATATAAAAATAAAAAAAACCAAAAAGTACCAGGAGTAGTGGTGTGTGCCTGTGGCACCAGCTATTTGAGAGGCTAAGATGGGAAGATGGCTTGAGCCCAGAAGGTCGAAACTGCAGCAAGCCGTGATGGCACCACTGCACTCCAGCCTGGGTGATAGAGCGAGATCCTGTCTCAAAACCAAAACAAAACAAAAAAAACAAACACATGCCTTCTGGTTTTTACTCACAGGTATTAATCTTAAGGAAATAATTAGGCAAGCTCACAAAAATGTAAGTATAAAGATATTCATGGCAGCTTTGCTTAAAACAGTTACTCACAGGTATTAATCTTAAGGAAATAATTGGGCAAGCGTAAAAATGTAAGTGTGCATATTCATTGCAGCTTTGCTTAAACAGTAAAAAGCAACACAAACATTCTAAATGAATTCAAAGGAGAATTTATTTGCTCTTAAAGAGGTTGAAACGCAACTGAATTCTTTACTTTTATCTCTGTTTCCTTCTCTTAGAACCACAACACTCTTGCAGATATTAAAATGGTGTCCTTTTATGAAACAATTAGAAACTTGAAGAGTGTTTGATATTCGGAATCACTGTTGATATTTTAGCTGCGTAATAATGTTTTAGCTTTGTTAAAAATGTGTAAACTTTTATTTTTTTATTGTAGTCTTTTTTTTTTTTTTTTTGAGACAGAGTCTTGTTCTGTCATCCAGGCTAGAAGGCAGTGGCGTGATCTCAGCTCACTGCAACCTCCGCCTCCTGGGTTCAGGCAATTCTCCTGCCTCAGCCTCCTGAGTAGCTGGGCTTAATAGCATGCACCACCACACTTGGCTAATTTGTTTGTATTTTTAGTAGAAACAGGGTTTCACCATGTTGGTCAGGCTGGTCTTGAACTCCTGACCTCGTGATCCGCCCACCTCAGCCTCCCAAAGTGCTGGTATTACAGGCGTGAGCCACCACTCCTGGCCATAT